TTTCTGATTAAGGGGGGGGGGGGGCTTGGGGTTCAACTACAAATAGTATTGGATAGTTGAAAAATAACGAAAATGATACATGTAACTGGTCAAAAAATGTTTGTACAATCTTTTTCGTAACGAAGAATACAGTTAGGAAAACAAGAAGCTTAGTCTGAGATCATAATTTTCATATACCAAAATATAAGATGAAATTATTGTTCCGCTAAACGTGTAGCATATTTTTGAGGTTATGTAAACGCTTTCCACTGTTTGCATCAAAACGCAATAACTAACTCGTTCAGTGTAGAATAAAAATGAAATGTTCCGTTTTATGACAAAAGGAAAATTATTTGACTGCAACGATAAAACAAGAATTTAAATATACTTCCAGTTGTATTTTATAGATGTACTTTATAGGGTGCGAAACATATTTTAAAGCGGAAGCCGTAGACGTAATATAATGGCGTGAAAAGTGACGTCAGTAACTTAATCTGTTATGCGGCAACTAGACTCTTGAAATAGAGGGCGCGCAAATCAAACTGTAATAACAATATTTTATAATTAACTTTGATAGACCAAAAACAATGAAATAAAAATTGACATATAGTCAACGGATAAATTCATTGTACTAATAAGATTACTGGACAGTTATAATGCATTAGAGATATAAAAGTAATTAAGAAAGCACATCGAGTATTTGAAAATTGTCATAAACGAACCATTTCTAATAAATATAATATTTCTAATATAATTTATATTATATATATATTTATATATTAGTGTAAAACAATTTATAGACAATATGAAATGACTATCAAGAATATATAACTTGCGATCTTGGCTTCATTTTGTAGTTATTAATGATTACAAATTTGCTTAGAACGCGGCAATTCAATCGGCAAAAGTGTATGTTGGGTAGGTCACGGAAGCGGCTACCTTAAAAAATATATTTGAGTACTTATTACTATACAATTATTGTTCCGCATCGTATTTCGTTTGCAATACAATTCTAAGTTCGCAGCTTAGAGAACGGTTTATTAATGTCATGGCTAGTTACATCATTATTTTTCTAAAATTTTTAAATAATTTTAACTTTCATTCGATATCAGCGAAAGTATGTCAAATTGATGCAAAGGGCAGATTTTAATGGGCGAAGAGTCCGATTAGAGAAATCTTTTATATCTTCTATATACCGATCCCACGCAATAAAAGAAAAATAAATGAACGTTTTGTGCTTATCATTGTGGTAAGCAGAACATCTTGTTCTTAACTCTCGTAACGGTTGCAATGCTACGTAATGCAATTACGTTGGATCAGGTCAGTCTGACGTTATATTACGTAGCGCAGCCGAAAAATGCTGACTAGCGCGCTTAGCATTCCGCGGTCACTGCCCGCGGCTCTTGGCCTACTGACAGGCACATATGTATAAAACGTGTTAATTTTGCTGCACATCGGTTCGTCTTCATAGCAGGATCGATCACAGTTTTCTAAATTCGTTTTATTACTAACCGTGTTGCCAGTCTCTTCCCGGCACCCGAAATCTTCTATTTAGAACGATCTTTGACAAAGCAGAATAAACGAGATCCATATAGCTTACGCAAGTCACAGTTGTCAATCAGTTGGTTGTCCGTCAGAAACGTGAAAGCAAATACTAATTTCTAGCTCGTAATTGGGAAGGGTGTTTTTTTTTTATTCATGGTACGTATAGCGAAGGTATGCACAGTAAAGATATGTATAACAGTTTAAAAAAATGGTTGCTGGTTAAATTTTGTGCACGAGCATTTACAAAAAATTTATCAGAAAATGAAACATTGTATTTTGCAGTTCCGTCTTAATTTTTAACGTAAAGACGCATTCTCGCCATTGTACCATACATATCACAACACTCTTATTAACTGTGCAACTGCTTTAAACAAATTGTAAATATTACTGAAAATTCTTCAGCCGAGTCTGGTTGTGATTAAGAAAATTTCGTCAATGAATCAAAAATACTTCCACGCTTGTAATTTAATGCAACTAAAGTTCCGTTTTAAAGGGGATGCCTTTATGATTTGTCCATTACAGCGTTATATAATATATCACAGCAGCTCTTATGCGAGCTGTCAGCTGACCTGTTATTTATTGTTAAATGTGCTTACATTTTAAATCGATTAAGTCAATTGTTACTACATGAAACGATTTTTATGTGGATTGCAAACGTCACGTAAGGCGACTATAGTGTCGTGAGTCTTAATTATTCTACTTAAGTAATTATTTACATAGCAATGAAAAATATTGCGAGCACAAAAAGAGACAATTGTAACTGACAATTCTAACTGCACATGTCTGCTGCACACAATTCGATCCTTCACGGAAAATGAGATCACCACAGAAACTTATTCTTTCCGTCGATCATCGGCCCATGTAACTTCATTGCTTACGAACTATCGCGTCCTTTCGTAGGTCCAACGATTAATTACACTTATAGTTTTTATGCGCGAATGTATTGGACTTGTAAAAGGAGCGTGCGTTGTCTCAACAGTCTCGCAATAAACATCCGTATGGCATCCGCCCGCGTCAGAATCTTAATTTACCAGGCGTGTTGCGTAACCGATCTATTTTCATGCATTCCGAATCTCGCTGGTGTGTATACGGATCCATAGAATTCCCAATCTTGATTAAAACAATGCCATTTGTAGCCGGCGAACGTAAAAAATGGTATAAGATAACACCGCCGGGGCAGCAGCGTACAACTTATTGCAGAAAGCGGAATCCGACGGCGAAACAATTCGCTTGCCGAGCAAACGGATCAAACACGCGTTGAGGTTTACGAGACCCTAGAAGTTTTTATTTTTGGATATACCTATGCCGTCTACGGACCAGCGGCCCAACGATCACAGTTTGTCATAAACGAAGCTCTATAACCGAACGCTCCTGCTTCACGAAATATTTTCTGGCGAATAAAGAACAAAACGCAGTGAACACTCACGTCGCGAAAATTTCTCAATGAAAAGTTCACGTTTAGGTAAATTACAGCAATTGTCCATATTTATCTTGATAATAGAAAGATTCGTTGAAGCTTAATTTCTTGTCAAGGGTGCAGAAATTTCTTCATCTATGAGCAAGTTGTAGTGAACACTCACGTCGCGAAAATTTCTCAATGAAAAGTTCACGTTTAGGTAATTTACAGCAATTGTCCATATTTATCTTGATAATAGAAAGATTCGTTGAAGCTTAATTTCTTGTCAAGGGTGCAGAAATTTCTTCATCTATGAGCAAGTTGTAGTGAACACTCTCGTCGCGAAAATTTCTCAATGAAAAGTTCACGTTTAGGTAATTTACAGCAATTGTCCACATTTATCTTGATAATAGAAAGATTCGTTGAAGCTTAATTTCTTGTCAAGGGTGCAGAAATTTCTTCATCTATGAGCAAGTTGTAGTGAACACTCACGTCGCGAAAATTTCTCAATGAAAAGTTCACGTTTAGGTAATTTACAGCAATTGTCCATATTTATCTTGATAATAGAAAGATTCGTTGAAGCTTAATTTCTTGTCAAGGGTGCAGAAATTTCTTCATCTATGAGCAAGTTGTAGTGAACACTCACGTCGCGAAAATTTCTCAATGAAAAGTTCACGTTTAGGTAATTTACAGCAATTGTCCATATTTATCTTGATAATAGAAAGATTCGTTGAAGCTTAATTTCTTGTCAAGGGTGCAGAAATTTCTTCATCTATGAGCAAGTTGTAGTGAACACTCACGTCGCGAAAATTTCTCAATGAAAAGTTCACGTTTAGGTAATTTACAGCAATTGTCCATATTTATCTTGATAATAGAAAGATTCGTTGAAGCTTAATTTCTTGTCAAGGGTGCAGAAATTTCTTCATCTATGAGCAAGTTGTAGTGAACACTCACGTCGCGAAAATTTCTCAATGAAAAGTTCACGTTTAGGTAATTTACAGCAATTGTCCATATTTATCTTGATAATAGAAAGATTCGTTGAAGCTTAATTTCTTGTCAAGGGTGCAGAAATTTCTTCATCTATGAGCAAGTTGTAGTGAACACTCACGTCGCGAAAATTTCTCAATGAAAAGTTCACGTTTAGGTAATTTACAGCAATTGTCCATATTTATCTTGATAATAGAAAGATTCGTTGAAGCTTAATTTCTTGTC